TAAAAAATACCATGTTGCCTCTGAAAAATCAAGGAATGTGGGGGTATTATTTTTTTTAACAGAATACTGTTTAATTTCTAAAACTCATCTCTTCTATTTTTTCATGGTTTTTTATTGATTCTTTGTGAATTTCATATCATGCACACAAATACCACTCAAATCCAAGTATTTCTGTATCTACTCTCCCTTGTAACTCCTCTCCCCCAAAAAGTTAAAACATGTGGAAGCTGCAGTGCATCATGGGTCATTGGTCTAGTTCAAGGTTTCCGCTTCTACTATATCGTCAATCCTGGACCCTCACAGAGACTCTTCTAGAATATCCTGCTGTTGAGCTGAGTCATGGAGATCCTGCAGCTTTGCTTCTGCAAGGACTGGCCCCTTTACATGCTCCAGAAGCTCATAGGAGGGGTAGATGTTGGGGTGGACAGGCTCAAATCCCTGCACCTGGACATGCGTTGTTCAGCCCACCAGCTCTGCCACACCCATGCCACTGGGACCAGCTACCCCACACTGTCCCGGTGAAGGGTGGGGCCAGTTCTCCCAAGTCCACGTCACCATTGGAGCCACCATAAGTTGGCCAATGAGGGGATGGCCAGCTAAGCATGGCACTCAGTCATAAGCTTGCTCTCAGAAGGCAGCCCAAAGCATGGACATGCTCATTGCTTTTGGCGGTAACATGGCTCACTGACATCGACACAGACCCCTGCTGTGGTAGGACCAGGGAGCCACCTGCCCCCAGGTGGCAGCACAGGCCTCCACACGGGCTTTTCCACTTCTCTTCAGAGTGCACAAACCGCTCTGTCTTCTGTGTCTCTCCCACATGTCAGCCATGCCCTTGCTCCTGTAGAGGCTCCCACCCCAGCCTGCTCCTGGTGGGCCAGGCCTGGGTCCTCTGGCTGCCTTCATCCCCAGCCTCATGTCTCTTGTTTTTTTCCACCTGTCATATAGAAGAAATTTTTCTCTCCAAACTCAGCTCCAGCGTGTGTCTCTCAAGAATCCTTTACCACTGATAACTACATATTTCAATAGATCTAAATTGGGGGCAGGGGTACCTTATGAGGTTGAAATTGTCCATGCTGCTTTATTTGACTGAATGGTTTCCTTGTCTCATTTATCTCTGAAAATAATCTTAGCAACCAGGGACAGATGATAGAAATACAGATTAGTTATCCGATACCAAAGGGTCAGCCCTAAAAACATACATACAAGTAACATTACACACACTGAGCTGGTTATATTTAGTTAGGAATATACATATATATATATATTTATACACATACATACACACATGCACACACACGTGTATAATAATTTACTAGGCTATGAATTTAAAAGAGCAAGGAGGAAGATAAAAGAGGGTTTGGAGGGAGTCAAGGGAAGGTGAAATGATACAACTTAAAAACTAAAAGAAATGCTTTTTTAAAACATTGTGGAAATGATATGTTATGACCTCAAAAGTTAAAAGAAATACTTTTTAAAAAACATTCTTAGCATAGATTTGAACATTCAGGTTGATGGAAAGAGGCTGTCTCTAGAGAAAACATAGCTTACACTTGGGAGTATAGATACACACTTTTCAAAAACTTCCCGTGTGTCTTAACAGTGGCTGTATTCATCATTTTGATGTCTCAACTCACAACCTAAAAGAGTGCTAAGAATTTTTTTGTCTTTTCCCCTCCTTTTGATAAGTGTGGTGTCAGGGTGGTTCCAAAAGTGCTTTAGATAATGCTATTATCTGATAAGACGGAGCTATGGGCCTTAAGGTTGCACAAGGAAATTAAGACTTGGCTATGACTGAGTGGCGTTTCTTGTAAGATTCTTAGGAAACTGAGTGTTTCTAGCTAAGAAAGGAGAAAGACCAACCATGGTGCACTGCTATTTTAAATTGCTTGTTTGGAATATCTCTCTAAAAAAAGAATTTTGTCAACCTCCTAAGTAAATTTCATTAATTGTGCCTGAATTCCTAACTCTCTGTTGGAGAGGGGCTCCATGAGAGGCTATTCTTTTTTCTTCCAGTATCCCCATAAATTTCTCTTTACTGGGAATAGAAAACATGTAGGATTTGAGAAAGCTGGATGGTAGGCCCGCAGCTATGCATGCATAGTAAGAACAGGAAATGAGACCTTGCACTTAGTGGGGCTGGCACTGGGAGCTGTGCTTGAATTCCTGCCTCTCTCCTTTCTTGTGGTGAGTGGCGCTGAGGTTCTGAGGGTTCATCTCCCCGTGTCCTTGTTTCTAGTGTTGCAGGGTGTTGGGGGGGGATTGTTTTGTTTTCTGGAGAGTGATGTAACTTCCTTTTATACTTGTGGTAGGTACGTTTCTAAGCACATCGAGGGTAGACAAAGCCTGGAGACCCACAACTGGACAGTGCGCAGAGACGGGAAGACTTTGGAACACCCATTCCTTAATGGGACATCTTCATCAAACTCCTCTCCTCAGGGCTCAGGGAGCTATGGGGCAGAGGAGGTAGAAAAATTTTAAGAGACAAAGCAGATAGATGACACCAAGGTATCAGTATCTTCAACACACAGTAAGACTGGTGGATGTATGAACTCAAAGACACTGGCAACATTTACAGGACCTGCACAGGTTCAAACCAGATTGAATCCCAGTGCTGAAAGTGCTTGAACTTCCAACCCTAAAAAAGCTGTCTCCAATTGGCAACCACTTGCAAAGGAAAAATTAGCTTTCTCCAATGGAATCTCAGTGAGTATGTAAATCTCAATACAAAAACCTTAGCTCTCATCTTAAAGAGAACAAGAGAACGTTTACCATTGCCCTGAAACACAGATTTGTGTTTACCCCCAAATCCATGTTCCTATGTGGAAGCACTTTCAAAGAATTTGTGTAGTTTTACCGACAGAGAAAGTCATGAGTCAAAGCAAGTTTAAAATGCATTGAGAGGTGGGTACATTACAATGATATCTGATGGCAATCTTAGCTTGTGGATTGATAAATACTAGCTGCCTGCTAAGTCAATAGATTCTAAAAGGTTTTTATCTGTTGTCACAAGATGTTAGTTTTGACACAGAGGAAGGCAAGGAATGGCTGTTCCAGAGAGTCAGAACTTACACCAAGGACCTGCAACGTTCCAGTCTCTCCAAAGTACTGAAATACTTATCTGCAGTCTCTGCAGATACTGCTTTTTTTTTTTTAAAGAGTTTTCATCCACATGAACCACACTGAATGGTAGGTCCCATGCCCAGCAGTAGATAACTAACCCAAAATGAACTCAATGATATTGTGTGTGTGTGTGTGTGTTCTCTAGTCTCTCGTTCCCACAAATGTCCATCCACATTTCTCTGACTCTCAATACTAAATTCTAAGACAGTTTATGGCCTCTATTATTCTCATTTTCACCTCCATATTCATTTTCCTACCTTAATAGTATCTTACTGTGATATGGAATTCTCTGGTTAGAACTTTTTAAGCCTCTTATCTCTTTTTCTGTATTTTATATCTTACATTTGAATAACTTTAAATTTTTATTTTTGATTAGCATACTGGGTTACTAAATAACATATTGCATTTGGAAACAAAGTGTTTTAGTAAATTCTCTTGCTCCTTCATCCCTAACTCCCTGGTACCCTCCTGATCCGCCTTTGTAACTTCTCCCAGAATCCTTTTCGTGTGTGTGTGTGTGTGTGTGTGTGTGTGTGTGTGTGTGTGTGTGTGTATGTATGTACATTAGATAGGATCTAAACATGAGAGAGAACATGTGGCTCTGTTTCCCTGTCTTTAGTTCATCTTGCTTAATGCTGTGTTTCCCATATTCATCCATCTTTTTTAGTTTTTAAACACTTTTAAAGTTACCATCCTGTGACATTAATCTTGCTTGTTAGCTTGATGGGATTTAGAGTCACTGTAGAAGTTCATGTCTCGGCTTGTCTATGAGGAATTATCTAGATTAGGTTAGTTGTGGTGGAAGGATCTGTCTTAAATGTCAGCAGTACCATCCATGTGCTGTATTCCCAGACTGGGTAAATAGAAGGAAGAGAGCCGTGCATGGACATTGACTGCTCTGTGTTTCCTGACTACAGATACAGTATGCCCGGTCCCTCATTCTCTGGCGCCATGACTCCCTCACCATGATAGACTACCATTGAACTTTGAGTTAAATTAAACCCTTCCTTCCAGAAGTTGCTTTTGTCTGGCATTTTGCAAGAGCAACAAGTAACTAAATACACGCAGAAGATGATGGAGTTTATCGTGGCATCGTCATATATAATCATCCTTTATACCTTGTTTGCATTCCTTCCCCTCCCCCGCTGTCCTCCTTCCTTCTGTTGTTTCCATTCTTCCCCAAAGCTGTCTCCTTCTTTGTTATGACATGCATTCCACTACTCCTTCTCTCTGTCTCTCACATTTCTGAAGATCCCTTACTACCCTGCCATGATCTCTATGGTACTTTTGGACACACAAACATGTAAGTGCACACAAACTTTTAAATTTATGTTTTCCATATGACAGAAAACATGGCATTTGCTTCCCTACGTCTGGCTTGTTGCACTCAATAGTTTCCATTTTCTTCTACTTTCATGAAATGTCACCCTTTCATTTTCTTTAGGGCTTGTCAGAATTCCATTGTGCAAATTCAGCACATGATCCTTATCTTCTGCTGGTAGGCATGGAAGTGGATCTGTGAACAGGGTATTATTTAGAGTACAAAATGGACATGCAAGGCTGTCTCTGTGGGACTGCGCCCTGAGTCCCTTGAGTATACACCTGAGGGATTGTAGCTGGATCACACAGTAGTTGTTTTCAGTTCTACAAGGCACCCCGGATTGTTCTCATAGTGCTCTGTGTGTAACAAATTGAATAGGTAGATCTTAAAAAATACAAATGTACAATACATGTCTGAAAAGTTGTTCAATATTCTTAGCCATGAAGGAAATGCAAATTCAAGTACAGTCTCACTCCAATCACAATGGCTGTGATTAAGAAGGCAGATGACAACATACAGTGGAAAGATGTGGGGGAAAGAAACCAATCGTCAGCGCTGGCAGGCTTTCTTTTGTTTAACAATAGTGAAAGGGATGAAGTGGCCATGTGTAATAAAAAACTCTCCTGACTTCTGAGGATCCTTCGTAGTTTGAAAAGAATATCTGGACAGAACAAATGGCCTTGATGGGTGGACACGGGAGGACTCAAAGTTGGATGAGAAGGGATGATGGACCTCGGAAAAGTTGGGGGAAGTAGGGTTATACAATGCAGACATGTAGCAATTCTCATAGAATTATTTTAAAAGTATGTTACTGAGACAAGTTCATGTGTTATGAATGACAGGGATTTCTTTTATTCGACCTAAACCTTGTAGGAATTAAGAGAATATTATAATCTTTTTAATGAGTATGGGTGTTTTACCTGAAAATATGTTTGTGCATCATGAGTGTGCCTGGTCTCCTCAGAGGCCAGAAGAGGATATCAGATCTACTGGAGCTACAGATGGCGTGAGCTACCACATGGGTGCTAGGAACAGAACCCAGGTCTTCTGTGAGAGAATCCAGTGCTCTTAACCTCTGAGATATCTCTCTAGCTCCTTTTTCTTCTTTTTTCTCTTTTCTCTTTCTTTCCCTCCCTCCGTCCCTCTCTCCCTTCCTCTCTCCCTCCCTTGCTTCCTTCCTTCCTTTCTTTTTTTTTTTTTTTTATTCCCAGACAGGGTTTCTCTATGTAACCTTTTGGCTTTCCTGGAACTAGCACTGTAAACCAGGCTGTCCTCGAACTCACAGAGATCTGCCTGCCTCTGCCTCCCAAGTGCTAGGATTAAAGGCCAGATCCTATTTTCTTTTTTTGCATGTAAACAATAGTTCATGAATATAAGGCAGTGCTTTATTTTAATAATTCAGTGACAAGTTTTGTTGTGCATGGCAGTAGACATGGATCTGTCTGCAGTCTTCTACATATCAGTATCCAGTTATGCCAGCACCATTTATTGCTTTATTTTTTCCATTGTATAATTTTAGCTTCTTTGTCAAAAATCAGGTGTTCATAGGTGTGTGGATTAATATCAGGGTCATTAGATTCCATTGGTCTACCTGTCTGTTTTTGTGCCAATACCAAGCTGTTTTCATTACTATAGCTCTATAGTAAAGATCCAAGTCAGGGATGCTGAGGCCTCCAGACATTCTTTTTTGTACAGGGTTGTTTTGGCTATCCTGGGTATTTTGGTTTTCCATGTCAGGTTGAGTATTCTCACAGGAAGAGCAGGAAGGGAGTTAGGAGAAAGAGGAGGGGAGAAGGGGAGACTGGCAGAGAACATTAGGGATCAGGAAGGTCCAGTTGGGGGAAGAACAGAGAAGGAAAGCAAGGGAAGAGATATCTTAACAGAAGGAGCCATTATGAGCTTAATGAGAAATCTGTCACTAGGGAAATATCCAGGGATCCACCAGGATGACCCCAACTAAGAATCTAAACAATAAGGGCTACCTTAAATGCCCTTCCCCTATAATGAGCATGATGGCTACCTTAAATGCCATCCTAGAGCCTTCATACAGTAGCTGCTGATGGAAGCAGAAGCAGAAATTCAGAGCTAGCACTGAGCCAAACTCCTGGAATCCAGTAGTAGAGGGCGAGGAATGCTGAGCAAAGGGGTTAAGGCCATGATGGGGGAACCACAGGAACAGCTGATCTGTACAAGTGGGAGCTCAGCGACCCAAGTCTGACAGCTGGGAAACCAGCATAAGACCAAACCAGGCCCCCTGAACGTGGGTGTCAGTTGGGGGACCTAGGCAGTCTATGGGCAGTATAGTATACAAATGGGCTTTGAGAGCCCATTCCATTTGGAGGAATACTCTCTCAGCCTAGATACATGGGGGAGGGCCTAGACCCTGCCCCCAAATGATATAACAGACTTTGATGATCCTCCATGGGAGGCCTCACCCTCCCTGAGGAGTGGATGGACGGGCGGTGGATGGGTTGATGGTGGGGGGAATGGGAGGACAGGATGAAGAGGGAAGTGGCATTGGAATGTAAAATATGATTTTAATTTAAATAGATATTAATTAAAATAATACACAGATTTTTTTAAAAATTAAAATGAAAATTCCGTAGTTTGTTCAATTTTCATTTAAAAAAATCATCCTTACAGAAAGAACAGAAGGGGACAAAAACCGTTTCTGACTTCTGGCATAATAAGTAAAAAGGCAGCTGAGCTTGGCAGCTCCAGTGCCGTTTTCTTTGTGCGATCATCATTCTTTTACTTCTTGTGAAATCCACTTATTTATCACTGCGGCCTCCAGTGTGTATTCAATTTCTTCCTGCTTGGCTGTACATTAGTTGGTTATTAGTGACTGGAGAGCAGTTCCCTCCGTTAGGAACAAGAAAAACAACTGCAGTTTCTGTCATCTTAGCATTTTATCAGTCATTGAAGAGAACGTTCTTGCATAACACAGTGGTCTGATGAATCCTGTTAGCAGTAATCAGGCTTTCAGAGAGAGCTCTTCCTGTGCCATTAGCTCTCCAAAGCTCTCCTCCTTTGCAGGGAAGTGGAGGGCCATTATGCTAATCAATCCCATGATGCTTTGCTTAGGAAAAAGTCAAGCTAGCAGATAGTAGCAAAGGTCATCAAGACAAGTCCCATCACCAAAGACTTAACTAGTCTGTTTTTGCTTATCTGGTAACAGATGAACCTGTGTTGATTAATTTTAAGATGCTCATTAAGAAAAAGAATGCAAAAAAGATGCATTGGTTTATAGAGAATCCTTAGGATTCAACTCTGTTAAGCTCTATGGTTCATTGTTTCTGGAATTCTTACAGGTGAACCCAGGACCTCACTCCTGTTAGGCAAGTGCTCTGGCCCTAAGCTGCAATACCAGGCTCTTTCTTGATTAGGTGTTGAGACAGGTCTCATCACTTTCTCTGGCTGGGCTGTCCTCACTGTGCAGCATGGGCAAGTCTTCAATATGGGCTCTTCTGCCTCGCTTCCCTAGGAGAGGAGGTGGAGTGCAGGTGTGACAACCTTGCTGTCTTTGTCCTTCTCTGTCCCATTCACCTGTGCCCTTATGGGAATAATAAAAGTTTATTAGAATGAATTCGATAAATATACAGAAATATAGGAAAACCTTTAAATAATAAAGCCTGAAATCACATTTATATAAATAACCATCATTATTTCTTCTATGGATTTTTTTAATTTTTAAGAGTTACATTTCTGCATTATTGAATAAATATATATAAATGCTTATTTGTAATAAAAAGAATTTTATGCACATGTTCTTTTATATAATACATATTTAATACTATATACACACATACCATGTTTTATATATATATATACAGTTTTGACATTAATTCTTAGCTCATCGTGTACATATAAGAAATGTGTATAATTCAGAGTGTTTTATAAATAAAACCATGATGAATAAAACTTGATAGGGTTCTTAAATATAACTGAGCTTCTGGAAGCTGAGATAATTTCTTCGGTATAAAACATGGGCCAAATTATGACTTAAAAATAATTTAAATTAAGTTTGATAATTTTCTCTCCAGAATATCTATTCTTCTCTTTATTTTTTTTTAAGCTTAGCAAACCATATCCTTTTAATTCTGATGTTGCAGAAGTTTGTGGTAATTGAAGTATAAATATATAGGCTGCTGGTAGGGAGTAATGACTGACAAGCAGAGGGTTGTAGAGCTGTATAAATAGGACCTGGTCACTAACTACTGAAGGAAATTTCATCTTGTCAGTGACATATGGAAACTTCCAGACAGCTGAAATGCACAGATATTATCCTATGAACCCAAGTCTCTACCATGCTTTCATTAAGGGACAAACATCCTCAGAAGAAGCTTGCCAACAAATACATAACTTTGGAATTCTTTATTTCTTTAATTATTATTTTTATTTTTAGAAACACTCTTATTTACATGTGCATCCCTTCATTCCCTCACCCTCCTATCCTCCCATGCTTCCCACTGACCCCCAGCCCATCCAACACCCACTCCCCAGGGATAGTGAGACCCTCCACTGAGAATCATCAGAGTCCCATCACATTATCTGGGGGAGGGCCCAGGCCCTCCTTCCCATTTCTGAGCTGCAATAGTATATCTCCTTAGGGAATGGGCTCCCAAAGTCCATTTATGACCTAGAAATAAACCCTGGCTCTACTGTTAGAGGTCCCATAGACTGCCTTGGCCTCTAGGATAGCACCCACATTCAGAGGGCTTGGTTTGGTCTAATTCTGGTTCCCCTGCTTTACGACTAGGATCAGGTCAACTGTTTCTGTGGGTATCTCCAGTTCCTGGATTCCTGGAGTATGGCTCAGTGTTTAGCTGTGGGTGCCAGCTTCTGCTATGATCATTTACTGGGTCAAGACTCTAGGAATGGTAACGAGGTAGTCATCAATCTCATCATAGGCGAAGGGCATCAAAGGCAGCCTCTCTACCACTGCCTAGATTCTTAGTTGGAGTCATCCCTGTGGATTCCCTAACATGTCCTCTGTGCCGACCTCTCTCCAAACCTACAGTGGCTCCCTTTATCAAGGCATCTCCTTTCTTGCTCTCTTCTATTCCTCCCCTGACTCAGTTTCTCCTGTTCTCCTCCCTTGCTTCTCCCCTTCTCCCAATTTTCTCAGGGGTTCTTGTCCCCCTTCCCTTCTTTGGGGGACCATGAGTTTTTCTCTTGGGCTCTTCCTTGTTTTCTGGTGGTGTGGATTATAGGCTGGTAATCCTTTTCTCTATGCCTAAAAACCATATATGAGTGTGTACATACCATGTATGTCTTTTTGTGACTGGGTTACCTCACTCAGGATGATTTCTACTAGTTCCATCTATATGCGGGTGAATTTCAAGATTCCGTTGTTTTTTTCCGTTGAACAGTACTCCATTGTGTAAATGTATCACATTTTCTCTATCCACTCTTCAGTTGCAGGGAATCTGGGTTACTTCCGGGTTCTGGCTATTACAAACAACATTGCTATGAACATAGTTGAACATATGTCCTTGTTGTATGAATGTGCATTCTTTGGGTATATGCCCAGGAGAGGAATTGCTGGATCTTGGGGTAGACTGATTCCAATTTTCCTGAGAAACTGCCATACTGATTCCCAGAGTGGTCATACAAATTTGCACTCCCACCATCAGTGGAGGAGTGTTGTTCTTTCTCCACATCCTCTCCAGCATAGACTGGACCCTACTACCTGTCTCTATCCCGGTTTGGATTTCCCACTTGACTAGATC